ACTTTTTCTGAGATTCAGTGATGAATCCAAAAAATTCTAAAAAGTTCATTAAAATACTTTCTTTGGGGCTGGGGTTGTGGCTCAGTGGTAAACACTTTCTTAGCACATGTGAGGCACTGGGTTCAAACCTCAGCACCACATAAAATAAATAAATAAAATAAAGGTATTGTGTCCATCTACAACTTAAAAAATTAAAAAACCCCAAACCTTTCTTTGTCCAACTACATGTCTATGTGAGGCCAATTTTCTTATATACTTCAACCCAAACTATTCAAAAATAGACTGAATGCAGAAGCAAATATGAATACCTAGCTGTCCTGTTCCAGAAATGAGAGATTTGCAGAATTGCAGGACAAGGCCCTTCTCCCCTACTCCTGCCCCCCACTTCCTTTTCACCCTCTCTTCCTCCATCTTCTTTACTGAAGGTTAAATCCCGGAGTGTTCTACCATTTAGCTAGTTTCCTAGTCCTTTGTATTTATTTATTTTTACTTCTGAGATAGGATCTCACTGATTTGTTGAGACTGGCCTTGATTTTGCAATCCTCCTGCCTCATCCTCACAAAGAGGACTACAGGAGTGCCACTGTACCCTGCAAGAAAATGCTCTTTTAAATTTTAAATGTTTTTTTTTTCTTAAAAATGTTATTTATGTTAATGTGTTTTAGACTAATCATTATTTTTTTAAAATGCACCAGTTCATAAATACTTTTAAAGTCTCAATTTTAATTTCTAATATGGAAAATACTGGTAGACTCAATTCAAAGTTTTTTTGGGGGTTGTTGGTAATTTTTATAAGTATGAAGTGATCCTAAGTCCAAAACATTTGAGAACTGCTGCTCTTGGGGATAAGAGACACAGGAATGTGGAATGGTCACTAAATTGCCCACAGTGTTAAAATTGTTTCTGCCTCACACTTCACCTTCTAGCTCTCTCTCACATTCTTTCAGCAAAAATTTTGGAATTGTCTAACTAAATATGTGGTATGTGTACCCACCAATTTTTTTTTTGTCTCTACCGAAGTTGAAGAAGTAAAATCCTGTTCTCTTTCTGCTGTACTACACTGAAAAAAAAAAAAAAAAGACAATCTCCATTGCCATGGGGGTCATAAATAGCTTTTAAACTATTTAGGCTTTACTGTCCCAGATGATGATAAATTTCTTAAAAATCAATTATTTAAAAGTATAGTTTAATTAGTAACTCCAAGAAAAGTTTGTTGTTGTTGTTGTTTTTGTTTTATGAGATTACACAGATCATTCAGATGTAGTCCTAGTCAAGTTCTGGGTAATTTAATAAGATACTCTGAAATAAATACTATGTGTGTGGGATGGGAGTGTGTACCTCAGGTCAGTGGTAGGACACTTGCCTAGCATGTGGCATGGTTTTGATCACCAGCAAAATACACACATACATACACACACACACACACACACAAATAAATAAAAAGTAAGTAAAGACCATCTATGTATGTACATAATAAATTTGTGGGTATTTTGCTGCTCGGAAATGAGAAAGGATTGAGTTCATCAAATTGGGAAATCTTAGCAGATTAAAGTGGTTATATAACAACTAGGTCCGACATTTGGTTTAAGCTCTGTATTTTTTTATTCAGGGACAGTTGTAAAGAACAGTAATAAAAGAATCTTCCACTTCCTCTGTATTCCTTATCAAAATGATTTAACATGACCTGAAGTGAAAAATGTTTTATTTGTGTGTTTTACTCCCTGGGAGACTGGGCAGCCCTGACGCATGTATGACACTTGAGGAAAAGGAGATCTTTCACTGCTGTTTTGAAACTGGGTTTTTGGACTGAAATAATGAGGGATTTAGTTCATGGAGAGAGGAAGGAAGGGGTGTGACATCACTTTGGTTTGTACCTTTATGATCCACTCTGTTGGGAGGGTCACTGTTGAATTCCTCTAATTCCCCAGTTGGCTCTGTGGAGAATTCATAAATGCTTTCTGCTCATTTACTCATGAGTTTATATGATCTGGAAACTCATTCTAAGGTGCTAAATACCTTTGTCCAAGAAGGCAGTACAGGAAAGTGTTAGTAAAATCTCTCACTTCTGTAGGAGAAGTGGCATTTTAGAGAATTGTGATTTATTTAGTTGACATCATATTTTTAGAGGTTTTCCTTTAAAAAAATTACTACCAACAAAAGAATGTTCACCTTTTATTACCAAAAAGGAAAAAAAGATGTAAGATTATTCTGTGGTCTCTTTCAAAGTATACTGCTAAATGTTGCCCTCTGGAAAGAGTATTTAGTGAACTGGGTGGCACATAACAATAATTCTAGCAATGAGGAGGCTGAGGCAGGAGAATAGCATGTTGAAGGCCAGCCTCAGCAACTTAGCAAGACACTGTCTTAACATTAAAAAACTGGGAGGGGGGCGGTTTGCTGAGAATGTACCTCAGTGGTAGAACACCTCTGGGTTAAATCTCTGAAAGCACCAACATAAAAAAATAAAAAATAAATTTTTAAAAAAAGATTATTTAAAGGAAAATCAACATACCTCATGGTAATGTTGGTGCAACAGGCCTTTAATTTCTGGATAATTTGTGTTTGGATGCTGTTTTTCTGAGTGTTCCTCTTGGATCCAGTGAGTGAAATGAGGCATCCCTGCAGAGTTCAAACAAAATTCAGGACAGGGCTCTGAGCTGATGCTTCCGGTGAACCAGCCAGCTTTGCACTGATACTTTTCCTAAGCCAAAAGATTGTTCACGCACCTGCAAGTCTGTTTGCCTGGCACTCAGTCTGAAGGGGTCTTGCTCCAAGGAAGGAGCTCTGTGGAGAATATAGGAAACATCACTCTGGAGTCTGAAAATCTTCCTTCTTCATTTAACCTATTCTGTTGCTTCCCCAAAGACTGCAGATTCCAAGATAAATAAAGCAATGCCTCTTTTGAGGTAAATTATAATAAGGTTAATAAGTAAAGATAGCAGAACAAGTATAGTCAAACTTCAGTACTGTGATATGTGAATAGAACCGGTGGCATCAAAATAGGAGCAAGTCATCAGTTCATCCAAAAAGTATTTATTAGATGTTGGATTTTATTTTATAACTTTATTTTGTTTATTTAGTTATTTATGTGGTGCTGGAGATCAACCCAGTACCTCACGCATGCAAGACAAGTGCTCAACGACTGAGCCACAACCCCAGCCCAGATGTTAGCTATTTGAGGGTCCAACCTCCACTCTTTTTTAAAAAAGAAAACAAATGACCTGTTACCTGTCCCTTCTTATGCCCAATCCTACAGCACTAGGGAATTAAAACAAATAAAATAATTTTCTGAAAGCTAAGGAATCTCTCTAAGATTATGCCTGCTCAGAGATTTCCCTGAGAAAATGATCTGGAAACCCTCAAAAATTGTAGAGTAGACATGCTGTCAGGGAGGGGCTGAGGCGGGGCACTTACCTGGAATGGGTGAGGGCCTGGCTTTGATCCCCCAGCACCACAAAGCAAAAAAAAAAAAAAAAAAAAAAAAAATACTGTCAGTTAGGAAAGTGTTATTTTATGTACAGCTGCTGTTGGAGGACCAGTCTTTGGAACAATTCTTTCTAATTCCTGGCCCTCACCAGAGGCCTAAGTTTGAATGTAAAATCGTATTGTATTTTAGGGTAAAGCAAACTGAAGTCAACACTATTTTTATTTCTCCCTTTTCCTCCCCCAAGTAACAATAATTAAAAAACAAAAACAAAAAAAATACACCCCTTCTGTGAAGGCTGCCACAGTGGCCACAGAAATGGCATAGTCCCCACTGTTAGCTACTATTGTGTCCATGGTTTACTACTCCGTCAGAAGAAGCTAGCCCATTGGGCATTTGTCCCATCCCTGTTTGGGCTCCTACATCAGAACCAGCAAACCTGACCATGGGGTCTCTCTAGGGTGTGTTGGAGAGCATATTGAAAATGAGACCATTATGAAAGCAGAAAAGAATAAAGTTTTAAAGTAAGAATTATTTGAAATACTTGAAAATCAAGACTGCTTTTCTCTTGCCATAATTTTGAGCTAAGATATGGGAGTTTAGGAAAACCAGTTCTATGTTCCTGTTATGCGTGTGCTTCCTTGTTTACACCTGTGGAGGAAAATTCTACAAAGTGTACCTGAAGTTCTATTTTAAGTGTGTTCATTTTGTTGCTCATTCAAAAAGCAGAATGACTGGCATTGGGACTATGGGAACTATCGTATAAAAGTAGGCCATAAAGGACACTAAATTGTATTATGAGTGGTCCTCTGAGGGAGATTTAAAAGTCAGAATGTATTTTCTGTGGGGAAAAAAATACATTAAAGTTAAATTCTCAGGCTACCAACCAAAAGCTGAGTTTTACCTTTGATTTGACTAAAAATATATAACATGGAATTAAAAATATTTTCCTATTAGATAAAGGCCAAGCTTATTGGTTGGTGGGGTTCTGTGGTGGAACCAATGTCATCTGCCTCTAGACCTTTAATCCAGCTAATGGAGGAGGTTGGCTACGACTTGCATTTTGTGGAATGGGACAGATTTTATTACAAAGGAAGAAAGAATTCCATTGAACCACTTGGATTTTGGGACGGTTAAGGGCTGTGTAACATGAGGCAATACTGCCAAGGTAAACTAGGTTTATGGACTATGTATAGAATTTTGCCAAGATGGCATCTCTCCTCTGGCACTCTTTCCTGCTCCCTGTGAAATCTTAGGCAAAGGAAAAGGTTTTATGAGTGAGATTTTTGAAGTTTTGAGAGCTAGGTATTTATGCCATAGGAGTATGGTGCAAAATATAAAAGTGATTTTTAGCTGACTTAAGAGAACCCATCAGTTATGTATTTATTAGGATACATGTTGCTCAAAATGAGATAATGGATGAATTGTATTTTTGTGTTCACATTTGGCTTATTTATGTAGTAGAAATCAGCTTTGGTTGATCTTAGCATTTTAATGAGTAGCCATGATAATGAAACATTATCTTGCTTAACTGAACTACCGTGGTTATGCTTCTAACTTAGACACTTTCTGTTCAGTCCCAGAAATCCTGGATCGAAGGAGTGTTCGACAAGAGAGAATGCAACAAAATCATACCCAGTTCAAAAGACCCTCACAGGTATACTTTTCAATTAAAGTTTTCTTTTTAAAACAATTTGACTAGCAAGACTGTTTGTAGACATTTAGAAATACCACTTGTCAGAAGATCTGGTAATATCTATAAAGTCAGCATTAATTAATTTTAATGAGTGTTTGTTTTTTTTCCCTTTATAAAAGAACTACACGCTTATTGTAGAAAATCTGCTAAGAAAAGGGACCTTGTCAATTTTGTGCCTCACTTCAGCCCCATTGCCTATGACAGTCCCTGTCCCAAATGAGGCTCCTTATAAGTGCCTGATCATTGAATTAATGAAGTGTAAAGAAGAAAGAAGTTAAACACAGTGATATCACTGTTAATATTGTGATGGATTTTTTTCTCTTTTTTGTTTGGTAATGGAGATTGAGCCCATGGGCGCTTAACTACTTTATATTTTTAATGTAAACCCTTTATATTCTTAAGTTTGAGACAGAATCTTGCTAAATTGCTAAAACTGGCCTTGAACTTAAATCCTCCTGTCTCAACCTCCTGAGCTGCTGGGATTATAGGCATGCCCCAACATGCCCAGCTGTGGTGGATTTTATTCTACTTGCTCTTATTTCTCTTAATGGGGGAGATAGATGTTATAGAAAAATAATACATCCATTCCATCAAATTTGTATAAATAATTTATAATATTTGGATATTAAGTGTTCAAAACATTGTGAATATTCCTCATCCTCAACTGAATTATCTGTGACTATTTTGGACCTATCAGGATACTGTACTTAGATTATATGAACAGGTAATTTCAGTAAAATGGTCAGTAGAACAGAGTGGTTTGAGTTTGACTACTTTGTGTTCTTGATAGCCCTCTGGAAACTCCACTTGCAGAACAAAGTTCAATAAGGCAGCCTGTGAAAGATAGGGGAAGAAATGGATATGGAAAATTCCCCAGGGCAATCAGATCCATGGAATTAAGATTGGCTATCTTTGCCCTTGGGGCAAAAACTAAAAGGAAAATAGAAGAGTCACATTTTAATTAGGGGAGCCACTCTATACTTAGGTTCTTTGAGCCATTGGCCTTAAATTTATTAGAGTGTAGAAATCATAACTGTGTGCTTAGGACCACGTTGAGGTTCTTGAAATTCTTTTTCTTTGGGGATGACTAAAATAGTGTTCCTTGCCTTTGTTAAACATTGACCAGTTCCACCCTCATCAAATTACCTGCCCTCTATAAGCCCCGTGATTGGAAATTCTCATTTTACTTGTTTACAAAATGTTTATAGATGCCAAGGCAACCTTGTTTTTCTCCTTTGTCTTTTATGATGTCTTGTAATGTTATGTGGCTGCAGTGGAAAGCAGACTAAGTTCCAAGTGGGTCATTTTGCTTCTGAAAATGGAAAATCATCTTCATGATCACCTTGAACTTCACAAAAAGTGATAAAATTGCTAAATCAGTTAGACTCAAGAAGAACATCAGTGGGAGCCAAAGGTATAGCTCAGTGGTAGAGCACAAATGTAGGAGGCATGAGGTCCCAGATTCAATCCCCAAGATGAATAACAAACAAACAAACAATGATCATAATTCCATGAATGATCTAAGACCTGATATGTTTTATGCAGAAGAGAGCTAACTCCATCTTTGTGAAATTATAAAAAGTTACTGTATGGCAAAGGCTTTTTTCTTAGATACTAGTAAGATTCTCTAAATTGTAGCTTTTATGTAATTTTCTTCATTATAATGGAAAAAATTGGCAGTATTTCATTATTATAAATTTCAATAAAATTTATCTTTGATTCTTTCTTATTTTTACTTCCTAATGAGAACCGACCTGATAGACTCAGTTATAGCATCTTTCCTCTTCCTTCTCAACATGCTGTAGAGGTAAAACTTCTAAGCACAGACATTCCCTGAAGGCAAGGACAGGAAGACATGAAAAGCCTGAATGTGAGTTTCGGAATTACAGAATGACCCTTATTCTATGAACACTGCCTTTGTTTCTATTATTTTAACTTAAGTTTTCTGTTAAAACTTCTTTACACTGAAAATCTGATCTTTGATGACCACAATGCTAACCCCCAAATCCAGAAGGTTCTTCTGAATCATAAAAGGAAAGATCAACAAGGATAAAGATCATAATTATGCCAACTGCCTTCCGAATCATTTTATAAATTTAATAAAATACCTATCAAAATCCTAAAAAGGCTGGATGTGGTGGCTCATGCCTGTGATCTCAGTGACCCAAGAGTCCGAGGCAGGAGGATGGCAAGTTCCAGGCCAGCCTCAGCAACTTTGCAAGACTCTGTCTCAAAAAGGGTTGAGGATGTATCTCAGTGGTAAAGCATCCCTAGATTTGTTCTCCAGTACCCTTCCCTCGAAAATATTCTAAAAATATTTTTTTTTCAGGAAACTTGACAACAATTCAAAATTCATATGAATGTATAAAAGTGTCCAGAAAAGTAAAATAATTTTTAATTTTTTAAAATTTTTGTTTTTGGAACCCGGGATTGAACTGGGCATTTCACTCTAGTCTAGGAAAGTAAGATAACTTTTTAAAAACAAGACTATAGCATTGAGGGCTTTCCATATCCAGTGTCAAGATACATTGAGAAGCCAGGTGAGGTGGCGCCTGTAATCCCAGCAACTTTGGAGGCGGAATCAGGAGAATCAAGAGCTCAAAGCCAGCCTCAGCAAAAGTGAGGCCTTAAATAACTGACTGAGACCCTGTCTCTAAATAAAATACAAAATTGGGCTGGGGATGTGGCTCAGTGGTTGAGTGTCCCTGAGTTCAACCCTTGGTTACACCCCCTCAAAAAAGATATTGAAAAGCATAATAGTGAAAACATTTCTTCTTGCACATGCAATGATGTACTGGATGCGTGCCTGACAAGTAATGTATATGCTTGCCAAGCTCAAATAATCGTTTCAATTAATTTATAGGGCAGATGCTATTTCCAACTGTGAAAACTGGGACTTAGAGGAATCACTAAATCAATGAGATTTAAGTCTAGCATATTGGTTTCAAACTCCAAAATGTTTTAATAATTATATCATTGTTGTTACAGTAGATGTAGTAAATGACATATGGAAAATACATGGTATAGGAATACTCAGCAAATCTTGATTACCAGACTATGGAAAATAATAGGTATTGACTATATAATCATTAGGTATATTTTAAAATACAAAAATAAACTAATAGATGTTTGGTTTCTTTCATTTAGATGTACTCCAGGCTGCCAAGTTTGCCAGAATTTAATCAGGTAAGATTTGTATAAATAAGCTTCTTTTTAACTTTAAGGCATGTGTTTATGACTCAATAGGATAGTTTCCTTGCATCTTGAATGGACTCAGTACAAAATCTCTGCTATTTGCTTTTCCAAGGAAGGTTTTAAAAATGAGACTTTTTTTGATGGTGAGTGTTTGAATGTAATTGATTATTTGAATTACTTGAGACCTTTACCTACATAACTGAAGGTCTTTGACAAGAGTTGCTGCCAATTGAAACATGGAAAACATTAAAATTTTATCTTAATATTATCTTATGCTTGGATAAAATAATATGCATCATGTGCTTGATCCATAGCTTGCAAGTAAGTTTTATGCATACCAAGCTCTATGGGAAAAACATTTGTGCTTATTGAAATTCACAGTGCAATGCAAATTTTAACAATGATGTATACTTTAAACTATGTGTTATTAACTGATTTTACTTTCTTTTTTTGTTTTTTAAAAAAATATTTTAGGTAATTTTTGGTGACCAATTTTACCTTTACTTATTCTTCTTTCTTTTTTAATATTTCTGGTAATTTTATTTTTAAAGAATTTTTGTTTGTTCTTTTTAGTTATATATGACAGTCGAAATCTATTTTGATATTTTATACAAACATGGAATGTATCTTATTCTAATTAGGATCCCAGTCTTGTGGATGTACATGATGTTGAGAGTCACTCTTGTGTATTAGCATATGTACATAGGAGAGTTATGTCAAATTCATTCTGTTACCTTTTTTTTTAGTAGAGAGAAATAAAATTACCTTAATTCTGATTATATACTTAGGTTTACATTAAGAATTGGATAATGAAAAATAAATTTTTATAAAATAGAGTCCTCAGTTTAGCAAGTCAGATGAAAAGGAAAATAATATGCACAAAACTTTAGTGTGTTTGAGAAACACCTAGTAAACTCTATAGCACCAGATAAGCATTGGTTATTGTGGTTGTAATATTATACTTAATGACTGATTGATTTGACTGAATTTGGAAAATACTCTGGCACTTTTTTTTTGTATCCAGGAAGGACTTTGATGTCTTTAGCCACATATGAAGTACTTTCCAGGTGGATTAGTATCTGTAATTATGTGTTGATTCCGTCTATCTGCATTGGTTTTAGTTGCTCTTTGAAACAGCTGCACACAACATCTTAAAATCATACAATATATTCTCTTCTCTCACAACTCTCCCTCACTTTTTTTTTTTTACCCCCCAGTAGTGGGAATTGAACCTCAACACCTTGCATGTGCTAGGCAAGCAATCTACCGCTGACACTGAGCTACATCCCCGGCCTTTTTATTTTATTTTGAGACATGATACCTCTGCCCAGGCTGGCTTGAAACTTGTGATCCTCCTGAATCAGTCTGCTGAGTTTCTGGGATTATAGGCATGTACCAGCACACCAGGATCTCACAATATACACTCTAGAACATTGGTCATTAAATTGGGATGTATAAACTCCACCACATTAAAAAAAATACATTGAGGGATCCTAAAGAGAGACTGGAATTTGTATTTCTGTTTTTAAATCTAAAAAATAATTAAAATTTACTAATATATTTTTCAACATGCTGTAGAAGTAAAACTTCTAAGCACAGACATTCCCTGAAGGCTAGGACAGGAAGACATGAAAAGCCTGAATATGAGTTTCTGAATTACAGAATTTTAGAGTGTTTGAGAAACACCTAGTAAACTCTACAGCACAATTTTGAATTTCACATAGTTCAAAACTAAAGTTTAAGAAGATTTATAGTGAAAAATGTTCATCTTATTCTTGCCCAAGGGTGGAGGCAGCCCATTCCCACTTTCCCTATTCATGGTTCCTATGATTATTAGTTTCTTTTTTTTTTTTTTTTTTAATATTTATTTTTTAGTTCTCGTCGGACACAACATCTTTGTTGGTATGTGGTGCTGAGGATCGAACCCGGGCCGCAGGCATGCCAGGCGAGCGCGCTACCGCTTGAGCCACATCCCCAGCCCCATGATTATTAGTTTCTTGTGATTTCTTTATGAGTTTTTAGTACACACATAGCAAAAATAAATGTGTTAAAATTTTCTTCATTCTTCTGTTTTCCACAGACACTAAGACATAGTAGAGGATACTCCCTGTGTGCTTTGTTGAATGCTTCCATACACCTTAAAATGCTTTCTGTAACAGGATAGAGAGAGCTCTGGATGCCCCATGAATTACATGTTTGATTTTCTATTGATGAATGATGTTTAGGTTATCTAATTATTTGCAATCTTTTGCAATTGTGAACCGAACAATAATGAATAACTTGGGGCATTTGCAATTTCACTTATGTCTTGACTAATTTATTATGTAGATTAACATTAATATACACTATAGTTTATACATAAATATACCGCTATTGGGGGGCATTCTCAAATGATTTTTGGTGTTGATAAAGTGGTCTTTACACATTTTACTGGGTATGTATCATTAATTTTTGGGGAGTATGTACATCCTAGCTCTTTCTTAGTGATTTTAAAGTATAGAGTTCAGTAGTGTTTAGTACATTCCTACTGTTGTGTATGGATCTCCAGAACTTTTTAAAAATTATTATTATTTTATTTGTTCTACTTTGTTGTACATGATAGCAGAATGCAAATTCAATTCATCATATGCAAATGGAGAGCAACATTTCAGTTCTCTGGTTGTACAAGGTCACACCATTTGTGCAATCATACATGTACCTAGGGTAATGATGTCCATCTCATTCCACCATCTTTCCTACCCCCATAATTCCTCCCAGCCCTCCCCTTTGCTCAATCCAAAGTTCCTCCATTGTTCCCATCTGACCTCCCCCATCATAGATCAGCATTCAATAATCAGAGAAAACATTTGGCCTTTAGTTTTTTGGGGATTGGCTTACTCTGCTTAGCATAATATTCTCCAGCTCCATCCATTTACCTGTAAATGCCATAATTTAATTCTCTTTTAATGCTCAGTAATATCCAGAATTTTTTCATCTTGTAACACTGAAACCCTATGCACTACATGTCTCTCCATTGCCTTTTTCCGCAGCCACTGTAACCACTATTCTACTTTCAGTCTCTATGAATTTGACTCCTTTAGATATCTCATATAAGTGGAATCACATCACATTTGTCTTTTCTGGCTTATTCAATTACCATTATGTCTTCAAGTTTCTTTCACCTATGATTTAACATATATCAGAATTTCCTTCCTTTTAAAGGTTAAATCATATTCCATTGTATGTATACACATTTTTGTTTATCCATTCATCCAAGATGGATATTTGTGTTATATCCACCTTTTGGCTATTGTCAATAATGCCTCTATGCACATGACTATGCAAGAGATTTTTAACATTTTAGAAAACATTCTCCAAAATGATATTTATGTCTAATCAAAGGAGAGAACCAAGGAGGGTATTTCTAAATTTAGAAGACAATCCAATGTAATGTAATTAGTCTAATATAAATATTAATGTAAACTTGTAAGGCTTATTAACATATGGCATCTGTATATTACTCTGGGAAAATGTAGAAACATTGCATCGATTTTCTATGCTAAAGTCATTTGTTTTCTGGAATGTAGGTGTTGCTGTGGCCGATTGATCCAAGACCATCATGGGATAGACTATGCCTGGACTTGCTCGGCTGTCAAGGGTAATGAAAGTGAACAGTGGTCTGTTGAAAAACATACAATGAAAAGCCCGACAGATACCTTTGGCACTATTAATTTCCAAGATGGAGAACACACCTACCACTCTAAGGTTTGCTAAAAAGATTAATTTTGACTCATAATGTCAGAGGTTTCAATCCATAGTCACTTGGCCTTGTTGCTTTGGGCCTGTGGTAGCACTGGACATCATGGCAGGAACACATGATAGAAGAGGTCTGTTCACCTCATGGAGGGTAGGAAGCAGAGAGAGAGAGAGATGAGAAGGGCCTGGGGTCCCAACATTCCCCTCAAGGACATGCCCCCAATGGATGACCACTAGGACCCACCTCTGAGAAGGCCTCCCTAATAGTACCTTAGGGTGGCAGCCAAACTTTTAACATGTGGGCCTGTGGAGACACATCTTAACCACAGCACATAGATAGTATTGACAGGCTAGCCATCCTTCAGGTACTTTCTCTTGACCATATGAATTCCCAGTTGTTTGAATCACAGGCAGTTTCCCCAGGTAAGCCCACTTCAGGAAAGCTGTGCATCAGCTGTACCCTGGAGTGTGACCAGCAGGTGGATGGATTTGAAACAAAAGTTCATYCTCGTGAATACGGTTTTTTTCTTTTCTTTTTTTTTTTCCAGTCCTGGAGATTGAACTCAGGTGTGCTCTACCACTGAGCTACATCTGCAGCCCTTTCAATTTTATTTTGAGACAGTCTCTCTCTGCCAAGGCTGGCTTTGAACTTATGATCCTCCTGCCTCAGTCTCCCAGTTTCTGGGATTATAGATGTGTGCGACCATGCCCATCTTTGTAGTATTTTATTTTTTCCTTTTTTTTTTTTTTGGTGCATTATAGTTGTACTTAATGATGAGATTCGTTGTTATATTTCTATACATGCACATAATATAGCAATGTAGTTTGGCTAATTTTTGTTATTTTAATATGGCAGCTGTGTCCTAACTTGCAAATTAAATCATGATTATTCTTGGATTCTTTCAATTACATATTTGGTGATAGCTTTCCTATCCCAACATTCAGAAATTCAAAATTTTAATAATGAAATAAGGGATGGTGTATTATGAATTTCAAAGATGAATAGCTACCGTTTGCTGGGTGCAGTGGCACACATCTATAATCCCAGCAGCCTTGGTGGCTGAGGCAGGAGGATGGATAGTTCAAAGACAGCCTCAGCAACTTAGCTAGGCCCCAAGCATATCAGTGACACCCTGTCTCAAAATAAAAAATAAACATGGCTCAGCTGTGGCTGGGTTCAATCCCCAGTTCTCCCCCATCTTGTCCCAATTTCTACCATTCTGGAGGATAGTGTGAGATCCCTACCTGCAGGTATGATTTCTACCTGTGGTTCTTCTGGGTTTCTTATTGCTCTGATTTCATTCTATAAATCTGGACTATTCTTACTGCTTTTTGGACATATACTTGAGGGAGGCAAGCCCATCTCAATATTACAGTATTTGAATGGCTTATATGTGGCTACATCTTCCTGGACAAAGAAGGCCAGTTGCGCCATGTAAATCTTAGGCAAAATACAAAATGATCCGGAAGCTATTTGCTGGTTTGGATTTCCCTCATCTTTTATTTTGCTTGCATTAACTATTCAGAGATGACTGTTCTGTGAAAAGAATTTGTTTTGGAAAAGAAAATGTTTTTAGAAGGACATGATGAATAAAGGAAATGATTGGAAAGTTAAAAACTTCATAATAAGTTCTTGTAAGTGCTTCTGAATCTTTTGTTATGTGAATATGTGGAGGGGTCCARTGGATGTAAAGCCACAGCATTTATGAAGTCACATTTCACCTACTTCTCGCAGCTTTCTGTTACCAGGTTTGCTGAGGTGGTGATTTTGGCTAGTTGTTTGAAGTGTTTCTGCCTCCCCTCAGGCCTTCTGGAGGACAGTGGGGGCCAAGCCTCTAGCCAGAGGAAACTTTCCTACAGTGACTTAGAATTCCCAGAAGGAACTCAAAGGGGGTGTGGGATCTTTTAAAAGTAAATATTTCCAATAAGTGAGGATGAACTTTAAGAGAGATTGTAGACATTTCCTTGCAGGTTTTGGCCATTTGGGTCTCCCTGCTGTGTGCTCATTGTTTCCATGCCTGGTATGTATTTTTCACTGTTTTCTGTTCATGGATATGTGTCTGTCTTCCAGTACATTAGAACTTCTTATGATACCAAACCGGATCATCTATTACATTTAATGTTGAAAGAGTGGAAGATGGAGTTGCCCAAGCTTGTCATCTCTGTCCATGGGGGTCTCCAGAACTTTAAGATGTCCTCTAAGCTTAAAGAGATCTTCAGCCAGGGTTTGGTCAAAGCTGCAGAGACAACAGGAGCGTGGATAATAACCGAAGGCATCAACATGGGTAAAGCACGTGTCCGTCTGTCTCTCTTCTCTCCCTCCCCTGCTTTCCTTTCTTCTTCCTCCTTCCCTCCCTCCCTGTGCTTTCTCACTGCACAGCAGGCATTATGGATCTAATCTCAGGTCTGCAGTGCTCCTAGGACATGTGGTGATGTGAAAGGGAAAGATAAAAAGCCAGTGACTGGAAAATAAGCCCAGCAGAATGACAGACTTTTCCTAGAATGTTTTTATCGTTGTCGAAGTATGCTATTTCAATGTAACTTCAAGTAAACTTCTGGCAAAGAAGTAGTTTTTCTTGAACTTAAGTCTCTTAAACCAAAACTCTTGAGACCAAGGGTTCTCTGCAATAGTAGGGTTCATTGAGCTATTCCAGATGTTAGCCAGAAGAGGAGCTRGTCCTGGGACAAGTTCTACAACTACCAGCAGCAGGACCAGCACAGTTGGAAATGTGTCCACTGGAAACAAGAGTCAAGAGCATTTTTATAATGAAAATTTGGGGAAGGAAAGCATAAATTGTTCATGTTGAATTCACATTGGTGATATATAAGAGGGGTGGGATAATATGAAGGAGAGAAGAACAGTTTACAGAATACCATTGTTCCTGGTTTGGTTGGGGTTAATAGTCTGGAAATTTCATTTGTAAGCATCATGTGGTGACCCCTGATCAGCCACCTGGAGTTTTGAGTCAAGGTTTCAACATACATTCAGGAATGTGAAACAGCCTTTTGTTCCTTTTAGCCTATAGCTGTTAACAGATTAATTTCTCTTATCTCTTCCCACTTCCGTCCTCTGGTCCTTGTAACTAAATTTAGGACATCTTTTAGTCGGGTGTGGTTGTGCATGCCTGTAATGATAAGTGACTCAGAAAGCTGGGGCAGGAGAATTGCAAGTTCGAGACTTGGGCAATTTAGCAAGACTCTGTCTCAGAACAAAAAATAAAAAGGACTGACAATGCAGCTCAGTGCTAAATTGTCTCTGGGTTCAATCCCCAGTACCCCACCATCAACAACAACAAAAAAGGACATCACAGAATTTGTCTTTTATCAAGGCTATTGTGAGATTAATAGGAACATCAAACCATACAAATGTGTAGTATGTATAGGTCTAGATAGTAACTAAACTCAGTCATTGTTAAAGTCTTAGATATTGGAAACAAATGACATACATAAAATTGCATTGATTATTTTGGGAATGAGTAGACAATTACTTTGTTTTTAAAGACATTATTGTCAATACACTGTCTATATCATTGACATTTATGTTTAATTAAATTTTATTATTATTATTATTATTATTATTATTATTATTGCAGTTCTGGGGATTGAACCCAGTGATGCTCTTTTTCTGAGCTATATCCCAGTCCTTTTTATTTTTCACTTTGAGGGTCTTGCTAAGTTGCCCAGGCCAGTCTCAAAATTGCCATCTTCCTACCTCAGCCTCTAGAGTTGCTGGGGTTATGGGCGT